TAGTATACTTACCTGTTTATATTAAACCTAACTTTATAACAACACTATGTAGTAACGCCTAGCGTAGCCACTTTTGCACTTAGTTTAAATTTATTTATCATTTCCGGTTGAGAATTTTAATCTTCAAACGGAAGTGATACAACTGACTATAATTAAAAAAACGAACCGGAAACACGATTTTCCCCCTCCAACCGACCCCGCCTCTAAGAGACACTGTGGCGCTCTCGCCATTCGCAAACTAGTGCTCAGCCACTTCGCACGCTTCATTCCAAAATGCCGAAAAGAAGACGTGGAGATACCATCGAATACCTAGCAAGCAAATTGAAGAAACTTGAAAAGAAGATGAAACACTCAAAAAGACGATCGATGCTTTCGGAATCATCTACCAGTACATCGAGTTCAGAAAGTTCATCAGCAAGCTCCCGAAGTCCTTCACCAGCTCCACAAACCCTGTTGGCGTTATCCCAAGGTTAGTTTTTACAAAAATGCTACCCGCATTTTCGACACCCATGGTGTCTTTCCAGTCTACACGACTGATGTGAGGTGCAGTCGCCTCAGAATGTATGCGGTTCTGTTGGCGTTATCCCAAGGTTAGTTTTTACAAAAATGCTACCCGCATTTTCGACACCCATGGTGTCTTTCCAGTCTACACGACTGATGTGAGGTGCAGTCGCCTCAGAATGTATGCGGTTATCACTGCAACATTCTGCACCCATGGTGCCACAACTGGTCAATGTGACAATTTCAAAGAATGCATTTCCAATGGAAATTTTCTGTTGCATTCGACACCTATGGTGTCATCAGTACGAGAAGCTGAAATCAGCGCCTATGGCGCTTAAATGTTGGCGTAACACCAATATAAGTAAATCCGTTCTATTCTCAAATCGGAACCAGCGGAAAAAAGCCTCTTCAATGGGTCCAGACCCTGCCATGCCTATACCTGCATCGGTACACGAACCTATCGCCGGGACATCGGACAGTGCGCCCGCGACACAGCCTCAAGAAGCCGCGAGTGCTGAAGTTACGCAGACTCCTGCAAGCTTGGACACAGGCTTGGACCCTGAAATACTGGATATATTGGGCATAGATCCGACCGCTACCGTAGAATATGGGCCTAATATTAACGAGGAGCTAACCGCCTCAATTATATGGCCACATCGGGTCTGGATAAAGACACTCGCAAGGAGTTATTACAAAAATATCTCGTACCCGCAAAATGCAAAAACTTATCCGCCCCTCAAATGAATCCGGAGATAAAAGCCGTAACTCCGGAGTACGTGCAGAAGCGCGGTAAGTCGATCGAAATCAACCAAAAGGAACAAAATGTAACCGAAACCCTGAAAATCGTCTTCAGATTTGAAGGCTGACTCCGCCAAGAAACCCAAAAGCAAGACAAGAAATTAAACCGCAAGTTGGGCACCGGGAATCGTCGGGCGGCGCCGGGCCCGCCGCGACACCAGCCGCCTGCAGCTCGAGCGACGACGAGCTACCAGCCGCCGCCGCCGCCGCCGCCGCAGCCAGCGCACGGCCACTACTCGACCGTGTCGTCCCATCGGCGCAGGGAGACAAGGAGGCGCTAGCCGCCGACGAGGTACGCTACGCAGGTAGACTGCGTCATTTTTATAGTCAGTGGTGGCTCATCACAAAAGATCGAGCGTGTATTTCTGGTACCTAAACCTAACGTCAAAATGTGATTTATACTAAACTACTTTTGCCCACGGCTTCACCCGCGTGAAATTTCGTTCATAACAGATCTTCATAAATTATAGCCTACTATGTTATTCTGGGTTATAAAAAATAATACTGTAAAGTTTCATCAAAATTTTTCAGTAGTTTTTGCGTGAAAGAGTAACAAACATCCAGACATCCAAACTTTCGCATTTATAATATTAGTAGAATTTGAAAAAATTAAATAAACATAAACGTTAAACATTTCAAATCAGAAGATTTGCGCACAGATTTAAAACCAATCCGAATAGTGAGCAAATGTTCGAATTCAACGTTTTACCGTTTGGGATATGCACAGCACCATTTTACAAAGTTAATGAAACCTGTTGTAAAATTAAGAACTTGTGGTTTTTTGTCATCCATTACTTAGATGACCTATACATAACCGAATTAAATTAGGTACTTGAAATGCTTAGAAAGCGTTCAAGTTACTAAATTATTATTACAATCTTTGGGGTTTATAATAAATGAAGAAAAGAGTAAATTAATACCTTCCATGAGTTGCAAATATCTCGGATACATAATTAATAGAAAAAAGCGTTCTCGCATCAAAACAAATTATAAAAATTAAAAGCCTAAAGAGGTGCAAAATTCGTAAATTTGCTCAACTAATCGGATTGTTAGTCTCAGCCTGTCCTGCAATTGAATATGGGTGGTTATGAATTGATTAATCTTAAGGAACACGATGACTATGACAGGGACATGAATATTCCAAATTTTTTACATTCTGATTTAGACTGGTGGTTACAAGCCATCGATAATTCGGTTCACCGAATTAAAGACGATAATTATCTAATGGAAATATACTCTGACGCTTCAACAATGGGGTGGGCAGCGACTTGTGATGGTCAAACAGCGACCGGTCAGTGTAAATAGTATAACTCGAAGTATTTGGCAGTGGTGTGAGGCTCGCCATATACATGTTACGGCAGCTTATGTAAAATCGTCCGACAATGTTATAGCCGACCGGGAATCCAGACACTCACATCCCGATGTTGAATGGGAAATATCAAGCATAGGGTTCAAAAAATTAACTAAAACACTGGCGTTTCCACAAATTGATTTATTCGCAAATAGACCGAATAAAAAATGACACATAATTTATGCTTCATGGGCCCGTGATCCTGACGCCTTCGCAACGGATGCTATCACATTCCAATATTCAATATCCAATTATTTCTTCTATGCGTTCTCACCAGTGGCCATCATCTTAAAATCCCTTAGAAAAGGTATATCTGACAAAGCCCAAGGTATAAGTAATAGTCGTACCAGCCTGGCAATCGCAACCGTGGTACCCTTTATTTAGACGTCTTGTTATCTCTGATATCTTTCTTAGTTCTTAGTTCAGTTCTTAGTTCATCAGATATAATAATTATTCCTCATTGATCCAGCGGGAAAATTCGCCACAACCTTACCCTGGAGGCCGCGCTCTTATCCGCGCGGGGTTCTTACGGAGAGATGTCCCGCTAGCTGCCATAGATGTCATGTTGGCTCCCTATCTGAGAACACTTTAAAACAGTACGATTCCTGTCTGAAAAAATGGTTTGCCCTCTGCAATGAAAATAAAATTGAGATGTATACACCTAATATTCCGAACATAATTCAAACTCTTAACGATGTCTTAAATACTGGCAGTCAATACCAAACTATAAATTGTCATAAGGCTGCAATATCACTTTTAGTAGGGTCTTTAGAAGACGACTTGTTAACAAGGTTTTACAAGAGCGTTCATAAACTTAAAACGCCATCACCACGATATAAATATAACGTGGGATGCAAATACAGTTTTGGATTAGTCATCTTCCTTGTATTCAAATGACGAAATTAAAAGCTTTCGAAAAAATGTGCAACTTTGTTAGCTCTAGTAACCGGACTTAGAGTTCAGACTCCATCAAAAATAAAAATTGATAATTTTGTAAAACTATAAAAAAAAAAAAAAAAACTTGTAATCAAAATTCCAGAATTAATTAAGTAAAACTTCCAGGTTCCTTCCTGGTTATATACAACCAACATAACACTTGCCTTTTTTTTTTTAAGTAGAGTCTCTATATGTCCAGCACACACTCTTAATTCATATATAAATAAAACTAAAGATATAAGAAAGTGTGTCGCCGTGTGGTGACGGCAGAGTAGAATACATTTGTCACCAACCCCTACTCTTCCCGCGGGTGTCGTAAGAGGCGACTTAGGGACTACACAACAAACAGAGAATGGGCAGCAGCGCTCTCTGAAAAACATCAATCTTTTAAACTGCGATCTCCAACCCGCCTGCCAAGCGTGGAGATTATGGCAAATCCCTCCACCATAGTGGAGGAGGCTCATAGTCCAGCAGTGGACTGTAAAGGGCTGTTGATGATGAAGAAAGTGTAATACCTTGCTCATTAGTTTTAGAAAACCGCACATGCCTGTTTGTTCTCAATCGTTAAGCAGATGGATCAATGCAAGACAGTGGAATTGACATCTCAATTTATTCCGCTCATAGCACTCGTCATGCATCAATATCACTCGCACACAGAGACGAAGTCAATATTGATTTGATAAGAAAAACTGCAGGTTGGAGCGGCAATTCCACAGTCTTTGCCCAAATCTAAAATAGGCCTGTGATAAACAATGATTATACTTTGCTTGCGCGAACACTGAGTTCGTCAAAAAGATAATTTAAATTATTTTTCGTATGCAAATACATTGATTAAATAAAAATGTATTTGTATTTAATAAGGCATAATATTTCCCTAACTAATTCTCTCAACATCTACATAGTGTTGTTATAAAGTTAGGTTTAATATAAACAGGTAAGTATACTAATCTCGAGGACGAAGCACGTGTATAATTGATGATTAAACGAACTTACGTAGTACGTGAAGTTCGATCACAATTATACTAAGTGCTTCGTCCGAAGAGATTAGTATACACTCTCCCTCCCACCCCAAAAATGTTAAGTAACATTTCCCGTGAAGTTATGGAAATATTACACTCTCAACTAAATGACGAGAGCGCCACAGTGTCTCTTAGAGGCGGGGTCGGTTGGAGGGGGAAAATCGTGTTTCCGGTTCGTTTTTTTAATTATAGTCAGTTGTATCACTTCCGTTTGAAGATTAAAATTCTCAACCGGAAATGATAAATAAATTTAAACTAAGTGCAAAAGTGGCTACGCTAGGCGTTACTACATAGTGTTGTTATAAAGTTAGGTTTAATATAAACAGGTAAGTATACTAATCTCTTCGGACGAAGCACTTAGTATAATTGTGATCGAACTTCACGTACTACGTAAGTTCGTTTAATCATCAATAATCTACTGCAAGTTTCTAAGAAAAAAAAAGACGACAATAAAATGTACCCTAATATAGATTTACAAATTATTTGTTTATACAAAAACTACGATTTTCTTTGACTCAAGTAAAACTATACAGCCATTAACAAAGAAATTCACAATAAGTACATTCTTGAGGCAAAAATAACAAAAAACTTTAGTTGAAAAAACCATACACTGGGCCGGAATCTGAAACAATATGAATTACATTATTAAGATTCTTATTACAAATAATAACAGACTGAAGAAGCGGTTTATAATAATAGAAAAAGAACTGAAATTGGCGACTTGTGTCCACTGTGTGCACGTGATGTCTGTCGACGCTTATTCCATTCATATTAAACCAGAGCCCCGATTACGGTAATTTTTAACGTCAACAATCCAGACACGCTTCTCGAGTCTGCGATACGATTGGTCGTTCAACAGCGTACGTCAGCTGTTTTGACCAATCGTATTGCAGAATCAGAAACGCGTCTGGATTGTAGACGTTAAAAGTTACCGTAATCGGGGCTCAGATTAAATTTGGTGTAACATTTACAATATTATTAAGGATAATACTACTACATACGGGGTGATTCTTTAAGGTGTTGTCATTTTTTTATGAGCGACTCAGAATTATTAGTAACTTAATCGATTTACGTAAAGAGCAGATTTTTTTATTTATTTCATAATTTATTATTATCAAAAACAGCATGCGTGGACTTATCCATGAAATCACAGTCATTATGGCGCACGAAAATAAACCTTATAGCCTTTACAACTTAAGGTATATGCACACGCGCATTATCAACAGATTATAGCGCAGTAGCGTAGTCAATACTGCGTTACCGCAACATATTTATGAACAGCTTATGATTACATTTGTCTGAATTTGTTTTAGATTTGTGTGATCGTTAAAACGCTTACAATATTTTTTTTAAATTGGTACTGCGCTTATATTTATGAACTCGACTGTACATAATTTATATTTAAATGATATTAATGAGCGTTTGTCAAACCTACCAAATTTGGGGCTGTATCATTGCGGCAGTTTTTTCACTCAATACCTTCATTTTCTTGATCGTTGACTAGGCAAAATAAATATGTAGCGCAATAGCTCATACGCTTTCGGGCTCCGTTTTAAAAAACCAAAGAGTCCACCTTTTGTTTGTGTGTACCGCCTCTGCTTGATGGGTTTATTTGCAAGCTGAACCTGAAATAATTAATAACAATAGTATAATACATGTATTAATCATATTATAAATGCTTACTTAAAATTAATTATCTACTTTGTAAAAAGCATCAAAATATGTAACTGAAATACTTAATATTAATAATTTTAGAAGAATACTAGCGGCCGCACGCGTGGATCCCATTTTACCCCCTTCATCTATCTTACGCGGTTTAGATTTTTTCATACAAATGTTTTTTCCCGCCGATTCCCGTTCCCGTGGGAATTTCGGGGATTCCTTTCTTAGTGCATCTCTACGGTACCTAAGCTACGTCCCTTCCAAATTTCAAGTGCCTATGTTTAGCCGTTTCGGCTGTGCGTTGATCTATCTTACGCGGTTTAGATTTTTTCATACAAATGTTTTTTCCCGCTTACTCCCGTTCCCGTGGGAATTTTAATAAATGAAATACATTATTATGATACCTTAGGACGCAGCAATAATATTATCCATAATGACAGATGTGGCTCTGATGTAGATGGCAGGATACAGTTTCTGAAATATTTAAAAAAACATAATTAAAATTTATTACATAATTAAAAAATTAGCATAAAATAAACCTATAAAATTAATTAAGTATGATGGTATAACCTGTGGTATAACTGTGTAAAAATTAATTTAAAAAGATAGTTTTATAAGATAGAATGCTGCAACCTTTACTAAATATAAGTATATTGGCAAAATCCAGTAAAACTTAATGTATAATAATTAATTATCAAACATAACAATATAATTTAAATAACTCAAGAAAGAGTTTTCTTTTCAGAAAAAAAATTAAATGTTCATCATAATAAATAGGTAGGTACTGATTACAAAACATTACAAAAGAAAAATTACTATCACAAAAAATCAGTTTATTTTACATATTGAAATTATAAATTATGTTCCAAGAATATTGTAGGTGACTCATAAATTTAAAAGTACTTAGGTATTATTTACAACTGAGTCGAACATACCTTCACTCACAGCATTATCTGGCAACAACATTGAATTGAAGTTATCTCTATTAGCAGCTAGAAAGAAAAAAAATATAAACAATCATCTATTGCAACATCCTGTATTGAAATCTTAAATGTTAAAATTAGTGTTTCAATTTTTAGTGGTTTAAGTTACTGTGTTAATAATATAATTTATGTAGGGTGCCTAATCCAAACAAATAGAATGATTATTTGAATTGAAATGTAGTAAAATATCTATTTCTATTTTGGTTTTATTGACTAAGTAGATTGATCTTAAAATAAAAGTAATACTTATTAAGAACATTGTTTACTTCTTTAGTCAAATCAAAAAATTAAAATATCTTTATTCGTATAGACTAATTAAATTAGTACTTGCAAAACACTATGGTTTAATCTAGGTATATACTTACTTTAACTTACTGGATGATCTGATCAGCAACAGCTTGGATGGTCGCCGAGATGTTATTATTTTCTTCATGGATAAAAAAATAGGACATCCATTCATCATAATCAATAGATTGTTTTAGATTTATTTATCCTCAAAATGCGATTGGCAGACCTGAAACAAAAATCAGTCAGTTCAGTCCTAGGGAAATTGCAGCAAATTTTATAGCAATTTGGAAGATTGTTTAATAACCTAAAATCACTTGCCTTTCTTTGACGAAGTTGCTCCTTTGTCATAGTTCCTGATAAAGGATTTGCAAGCAGGAGTTACTGTATCCTTAGAGCCTGCAATGCTTCATCACGTGCCAGAGAAAAAACCCTGGACTTGGTGGACGAGCAACCGGTCACGATGCATTTGGTATCGTATACGTAATATGAAACAATCTTGTTTACACGGTAAACAATGTAAATACGGTAAAATGACCATTATGAGCAATGAAAATTGCTTTTTTGTTTGCTTTTATTTCCGAATATTTCGGAATCAAGATTTTTTTAACTCGGAATTTCGAAAAGAAAAGAATTGAGTGAATGAATGATTGATTGAATGAGCGAGCGAATTCAGCGAATGAATGAGTCACAGATAAAGATAGATGCAGCATGTGTCAAAATTTGTATGAAGCCGAGCGTGCCACTTTTTAAACGTCATTAGTGTCATTTTAGCGAATTTTAGTGATTGCCGCAACGTAAAAGTAATCGTATCATCGTACTGCATTCGCAAAGTCATCGAATGATATCGTGTGACTTGATTCAAAAATTAATTAATTCCGATAAAACTGATATTTTGTTAAATGGCAATGCCAGATTTTGTATGGAAAGTGGCGTCTTTTTTTTTTCGCGCGGCCATCGATCAAACTTTGTTTTTTGATTACAAAATAGTGTAATAAACCAAACTTACTACGGCATGTATACCTCTAAACTCAGTCTGAACTGAGTTACGAGCAATAGAAGTTTGATGATTTTCATACTAGATTTGCTTTTTGTGCGCAAGTTTTGTAAGAAATTGCAACAAAATATTGCGCTATTTTTTTATTGCGCTGACTCTGCTCCATACTGATGTCTGGAGCCTTTAATGGATGGTATTGTTTGTTTACACATACAATCTCACTATTTTGTTGCAATTTTTTAGCAAACTTTGCGCGCAAAAAGCAAATCTAGTATGAAAATCATCAAACTTCTAATGCTCGTAACTCAGTTCAGACTGAGTTTAGAGGTATACATGTCATAGTAAGTTTGGTTTATTACACAATTTTGTAATCAAAAAACAAAGTTTGGTCGATGGCCGCGCGAAAAAAAAAAGACGCCAATTTCCGGCATTGTCTTTTATAGCTAGTCTGACTGTGGATTAAAATAATTATGTAGCGGTAGACGTTATTCTACAATTCTACATTATTAATTTGCAAATAATATTTTTGTTGTGCCTAATGTTTATGAAAGTAATTATAAGCGGGAAAGCGTAACAGACAGACAGACAGACAGACAGACAGACAGACAGACAGACAGACAGACAGAGTTACTTTCGCATTTATAATATTAGTTGGGATTATCGTTATTCCATTATGTTAAATAGTATTACTAGTAATTCATACTTAATTCCATACTTTTAAATATCCTAGTAAGTNAAACGTTAAACATTTCAAATTAGAAGATTTGCGCACAGTTTTAAAACTAGTCACAAAAAATTCTTATATGGCGACTATAGATCTTAAAGACGCCTATTTTTTAATCAACATTCATCCTAATTCACGAAAATATCTTAGATTCATTTTAAAGGACATATCCAATCCGAATAGTGAGCAAATGTTCGAATTCAACGTTTTACCGTTTGGGATATGTACAGCACCATATATATTTACAAAGTTAATGAAACCTGTTGTAAAATTGTTAAGATCTTGTGGTTTTTTGTCATCCATTTATCTAGATGACCTATACATAACCGAATTAAATTACTTGAAATGCTTAGAAAGCGTTCAAGCTACTAAATTATTATTACAATCTTTGGGATTTATAATAAATGATGAAAAGAGTAAATTAATACCTTCCATGAGTTGCAAATATCTCGGATACATAATAGATTCATATAATTGGTGCATATCCCTACCAAGTGAAAAGCGTTCCCGCATCAAAACAGAAATTTTAAAAATTAAAAGCCTCAAGAGGTGCAAAATTCGTAAATTTGCTCAACTAGTCGGATTGTTAGTCTCAGCCTGTCCTGCAATTGAATATGGGTGGTTATAATTATACCAAGGAATTGGAACGTTGCAAGTACCTTAATCTTAAGGGGCACGATGATTATGATAGGGACATGAATATTCCAGATTTTTTACATTCTGATTTAGACTGGTGGTTACAAGCCATCGATAATTCGGTTCACAGAATTAAAGACGATAATTATCTAATGGAAATATACTCTGACGCTTCAACAACGGGGTGGGGAGCGACTTGTGATGGTCAAACAGCGAGCGGTCAGTGGTCAAAATCGGAACGAAATTTGCATATTAACTGTTTAGAACTTTTAGCGGCCTTTTTTGCGCTTAAAACCTTCACCAAAAATATTAACGACTGTCAGATACTTCTACGTGTTGACAACACCACGGCGTTGAGTTATATAAATCGCATGGGTGGAGTGCAATATCCCCATCTGAATAATATAACTCGAAGTATTTGGCAGTGGTGTGAGGCTCGCCATATACATGTTACGGCAGCTTATGTAAAATCGTCCGATAATGTTATAGCCGACCGGGAATCGAGACGCTCACATCCCGATGTTGAATGGGAACTATCAAGCATAGGTTTCGAAAAATTAACTAAAACACTGGGGTTTCCACAAATTGATTTATTCGCAAATAGGCTGAATAAAAAATGTCACATATATGCTTCATGGGCTCGTGATCCTGACGCCTTCGCAACGGATGCTTTCACATTTTCTTGGTCCAATTATTTCTTCTATGCGTTCCCACCAGTGGCCATCATATTAAAATCCCTTAGAAAAATTATATCTGACAAAGCCCAAGGTATAATGGTCGTACCAGCCTGGCAATCGCAACCGTGGTACCCTTTATTTAGACGTCTTGTTATCTCTGATATAATAGTTCTTAGTTCATCAGATATAATTTTTCCTCATTCCAGCGGGAACATTCGCCACAACCTTACCCTGGAGGCCGCGCTCTTATCCGCGCGGGGTTCCTACGGAGAGATGTCCCGCTAGCTGCCATAGATGTCATGATGGCATCCCTATCAGAGAACACTTTAAAACAGTACGATTCCTGTCTGAAAAAATGGTTTGCCTTCTGCAATGAAAATAAAATTGATATGTATACACCTAATATTCCGAATATAATTCAATTTCTTACCGATGTCTTAAATACTGGCAGTCAATAATAATAATAATAATAACCACGATATAATATAACGTGGGATGCAAATACAGTTCTGGATTACTTATCTTCCTTGTATCCAAATGACGAAATTACTTTAGAAAAGCTTTCGAAAAAATGTGCAACTTTGTTGGCTCTAGTAACCGGACATAGAGTTCAGACTCTATCAAAAATAAAAATTGATAATTTAGTACAACTAGAAAAACAACTTGTAATCAAAATTCCAGACTTGATTAAAACTTCCAGGCCTGGTTCTATGCAACCAACATTACACTTGCCTTTTTTTGAAAATAGAGTCTCTATATGTCCGGCACACACTCTTAATTCATATATAAATAAAACTAAGGATATAAGAAAATGTAATACCTTGTTCATTAGTTTTAGAAAACCGCACATGCCTGTTTGTTCTCAATCATTAAGCAGGTGGATTAAATCCACAATGCAAGACAGTGGAATTGACGTCTCAATTTTTTCCGCTCATAGCACTCGTCATGCATCAACATCACTCGCACACAGAGACGGAGTCAATATTGATTTGATAAGAAAAACTGCAGGTTGGAGCGGCAATTCCACAGTCTTTGCTCAATTCTATAATAGGCCTGTAATAAGCAATGATGATTTTACTTTGCTTGCGCGAACTCTGAGTTCGTCAAAAAGATAATTTAAATTATTTTTTGTATGCAAATATATATTTGATTAAATAAAAATGTCTTTGTATTCGATAAGGCATAATATTTCCCTAACTAATTCTCTCAACATCTACATAGTGTTGTTATAAAGTTAGGTTTAATATAAATAGGTAAGTATACTAATCTCGAGGACGAAGCACGTGTATAATTGATGATTAAACGAACTTACGTAGTACGTGAAGTTCGATCACAATTATACTAAGTGCTTCGTCCGAAGAGATTAGTATACACTCTCCCTCCCACCCCAAAAATGTTAAGTAACATTTCCCGTGAAGTTATGGAAATATTACACTCTCAACTAAATGACGAGAGCGCCACAGTGTCTCTTAGAGGCGGGGTCGGTTGGAGGGGGAAAATCGTGTTTCCGGTTCCTTTTTAATCTTTTAATAGAAACCGTCAGTTGTATCACTTCCGTTTGAAGATTTTAATCTCAAACCGGAAGTGATAAATAAATTTAAACTAAGTGCAAAAGTGGCTACGCTAGGCGTTACTACATAGTGTTGTTATAAAGTTAGGTTTAATATAAATAGGTAAGTATACTAATCTCTTCGGACGAAGCACTTAGTATAATTGTGATCGAACTTCACGTACTACGTAAGTTCGTTTAATCATCAATTTTAAGTAAAATAAATAATTACTAATTTCACAATAAAATAATTTGATTATGTCTTTCAGTATGTCTTCACAAACCTGTTACTTCAAGGCCAGCAAACTCTGAGAGATATCTTATTTGCAAATGGAAAAGATTAGGCACCGAGTCGGCGGAGCGACATCTTTACAACGTCAACTCTCTTTTATATGATGGACTGGATAATGAAGACGATGTAACTGAGCTTGTCCCCCTAAGTGTCATGCAAGAGGACACAAAATTCTTTGAATACATATACAAAAGCAACTGTGTGTAAGTAGTGAATTTAATGTAAATGATAAAATAAATAAACCAGATAGATACCCATTGATGACACATTAAATTATACTTCCAGATTAGGTGAACAACAAATAAAAAATTTGCTCAAAATAGCAGCATTCAGCAAGGACAAAAATCTAAAAGAAACTAGCCAGGCTAGTATGAGAGAGCAATGTTTGAAGTTGTGGCAAGTAAGTGTTTTGTATGTTTGTATACTCAAAAAAATAAGGAGATTTATTGTACAGTTATAAGTAGATACACAATTTTCTTTCAGCTCCCAGACAAGGTAAGGACGCAGCCTGAACGCCATGGACCAGACGATACATTGAAAAGTATATTATCTTTATTGGAAAAGAAGCCACCCCAGTCCAGCAGTCATCACGGATTCAAGACGACAATACTGAACAAACAACCACTTTACATCAAAAAGCCCTCAGACTTAGAAACACTCAAACAAGTGTATGACTGGCATTTTATGTTTTTGAGTAGTGCAAAAGAAAACAGTCCTGATTTAAAAATATTTATAGGTAAAGTATGGTTAACAAAAAAAAATACATACAGTCGAACATATCATATAACCTTCTCCTTTTTTGAAGTCGGTTAAAAATAAAGCAATCAGAACGCGATAAAGCGGCGTTTCCATCAATCATTAGGTCAGATTAATTATAAATTGGAACCCCTATTTTGTTCCAAAGTCTAGCTTTGTCCTAAATAGGAAGAGCTCCAGATAAATGGAAAAACTTACAGCTCTGTGTTGAAAATAAGCATCATTCTTTCGACATTATATCATTGTCTTCGGAGATCTTCAAACACATTAACTTACGAAACTTTCTTGCTTTTTTCATGTAATCTGCCCCTTTTGCTGTATACAGAACTTTCTTGCTTTTTTCATGTAATCTGCCCCTTTTGCTGTATACAGGGTGGAAACGAAAAGTGATCTCACTCGATTATTTCTAAACTATAGAAGATATCGAAATACTGGTTACTGATCCTGAAAGTGCTAACAAGTTACAGAATAAACGGGATCTATCCGAAAATTCAATGTTTCCAGCTTCCATACTAAATGTATGCCAACCACTCAAAATTAGAAGTGTAATTTTTTAAAAACTTTAAATAAACTCGTAAATTGCATTCTTATTTAAAAATATTTATGGAAAACATTAGTTTTAGGCTTTACTTGCTATAAAATTTGCTATAATATTATCAAGAGATAAGTACCATATTTGTGATAGTACTAAATATATGGAAGATGGAAACATTGAATTTTTAGATTGATCCAGTTTATTCTGTAACTTAATATTGATACCATTGCATAGAGCTCGTGAAGCACTTCTAGGATCAGTAACCAGGTTTACGATATCTTTTGTAGTTTTTAAAATTATGAGGTTGTACCAAATGTATGGAAGCTGGAAACATTGAATTTTCGGATAGATCCAGTTTATTCTTTAACCTATTGTTGGAACCGTTTGATAGAGCTCATGAAGCACTTTCAGGATCAGTAACTAGTTTTTTGATATCTTGTATAGTTTAGAAATAATCGAGTGAGATCACTTATCGTTTCCACCCTGTATAGTACTTCTTTGCTTATAGTTTCTATTACAGACTAATAAATTGTTTTCAGGCTGCGGAGGTAAACATGTGCACCAACTAGAAGGCAGTGTTTGGAAAATCGTCGTTGACTTGCAGTTGACTCTTCCGGCAAAAACGTTAATATACGCTGAAGTAAGTAAAGCGAACTTAATGCTATGTGACTTTATCTTCTAGTCAACCTAGTCAATCTTATCATCAAGTTTTTTTTTATAAAATGTATGTTAACTTTTACTTATATTGCGTTTAGATATTGAAAGAATACCGAGGAGAAGGCAATACCCAAATATATAGCAAAGCATTACATATTGTTGATGCTTTGATGCTCGGCGGAGTGGACATATCGAATTTGCCTTTATCAGAAAGGTTTGTATATTTGTATCAAGTTTTTCACTTCTTTACAAACATGTCGAACTATGTTTACAACTAGAATTTATTTCTACAGGATCAACCAATGTAACTTGTTCTGCACAGCCCTGAACAAGCCTTTCTACGGATCCCAGGCTCTTCCCATAAGGTGCAAAAGACTGTTCAATTTGGAAATGTTTACAAATGCTATGAACAAATTAGAATATCGCGCCATGAAAAGAATAAAAAGAGCAGTTACCATAAATACTCCAAATAGAATTGATGGAGCTGAAATGTTTTATGAAGTGGGATCTCTTCTATTCATGAAAGAAATAAAAGGTTTGTCCCTGTATTATGTTTGATCTAGTTGTAAATATTTGAGAAATGATGAATGCCTGCTGTCTGCAGATATTATCAACTTGCCAATCCTTTTGTGAGCAGTGTTCTCTTTAATCTTTAAGGTGTTGTTATTATGTTTGTTGTTACCTATTTAATTACGTAATAAGGTATAAACCTGTGTAATTAAAATAAATAAATAAATAAAAAAAATAAATAAATATTATAATATAGTAAGATTCACAACATTGGACTGCATATAAAGCCTTGTTTTATTAAGTTGGCAATAATTTGTTTCAGAACCATGGGTGTCACAGATTTCAAAAACGACTGGATGTAAATATTACTACAATATAAAACACAGGCGAAGTGAATACTACATTACAGATGACGCTCGCGTGGACATGGTGACCGCCTTCACGACACGCTTGCAGTGGGTGTGGGGCAATGCTGGCGCGGCCATTCTTGAAGATCAAGTGCACAATGGCTTGTCTAAAGCAGCCTTCGAGGATTTTATCGCCTTTAATGCTAAGAGATAACTTTTTTTAAATTTGTTTCTAATAAACATATTGATGTTATCTATTCTCTTTATTTTGGCTAGCACTATCCTTTCATAACATACTATAATATTATAAATAAATGCGAAAGTGACTGTCTGTGTCGCTTTCACGCCTAAAACTGAACCGATTTTGATGAAATGTGGCATAGAGATAGTTTGACTCCCGGGACGGACATAAAGTAGTTTTTATAAAGTAATGGGGATTAATGAACTTTTTAGTTAATTATTCCCCATTATAAGCAACAATTGGCGGGGAAAAGTGGAATAAGCTATTTTGTATGAAAATTAAAATGATATTAAATTTCTGACTTCACCTTGCCATTTATATGACCATGTGTTAACATGGGCTAGTGTCGGCTCGTACCCATTTACCTAACACCCTGTATAAAGCGTGAACGAGACATCCTCTATCCCAGCATAACTGAGACTAGATATATCCTAGTTGATTGAACAGCATCCTCTCTTCGCCCGTTTCTAGGTCTGGACAGCTACATACAGTGATTAGTTAATCCTCTATGAACCTCATTACTACTCCAAGTGCGTTGCCAACAACTAACTGCATATTATAGATAGGGTATTGCTACCCAAGTCGCATCTCAATAACGAGCGCGCGCTCCTATCGAAGATGAAATAAATAAAAATCAACCATTGAATCAAATCACTTTATTTAAAAATATCTCCATCCATGACAGCACTGAACCACAATTACATTGATGTCGTCATACTATCTTTAGTTCTACATGAGAAACTTGTTTAGTTTATTAAATCCATGTCACAATACGAAAATCGTAAGTTTAAATCTTAGGTTACTATTCATGTACTTCAAAAGTCTGTTCACTGATAAACTGGGCAGGGCGTTATTTAATTTCTTTCACATAGGCGTCTAATTCGGCGTCCAGCTGCTCGGCGGTGGGCACCGGGCGCCGGCCCCGGCCTGCGCCGCGGCCTCGCGCTCCTCCGCGGCCTCGGGCGCCGCCGCCGCCTCCGCTTTGGCTTTTGTTGGGGACATTGTCTGTTGGAATAGAAAAATCAATTCAATACTCTGTTATTACCAACTTTGAAGATAAAACGTAACAAGTCTACACCTCAGAAATTTCATATTTTGTTCAATAAAATATAATTTTATTTTAAGCACTTACATCACCATATAAAACTTCATGTTAATGTGAACATTATTTTTCCTTTGAATACAAAACAGCTATTTCATAAGGTAAAGACCTAATTAGGTAATTATTATTAGAAACAACAACAGAACAAATTATATTAATCACCCATAGCAATATGACAGGATATTAGTTCCTTACAATGTTGGCCAACTTTTAATTACCTATTTACTATCTACTATGTTATAAATAAAAAATACCACTAATACATCAGGTGTGGCATTTTTTGTAGTGTGTTATTAACATGCCAAATAAATTGTTGTAAACTTTAACTGTTGCACAATATTTTGATACTTACTCCTGTTTGAATTTCTTCTATTAGGAATATTAGGGTTTCCAAGACGTCCTCCTCTATCTTGACTTCTTAGAGAACTTATTTCTGATGTTGCTAGTTGTATGTTCATTGCACGTCCATCTAATGGTACTCCATTATATTGTTTCATAGCTTTAAGTGCATCTGCTCTTCTATCAAACACCACATCAGCAGTGCCTGAAAAATAAAATAACACATGTTTTAATATCTTTTACAGTTTGGTATTGTTTGGAAAGAAACAGCTTAATTGTCTTGAATGAACAATGAACATACCTAAAGATCTACCGGATCTGTCATAATGTACGGCTGCACTCTTTAGAATTCCAAATTCTGAAAACAGCTCTTGTATATCAGAGTCTGAAACTCCAAAATCCAAATTAGAGACCAGTAGTTTAGTCGGTCCTGTAGATATTGATCCTCCTCTCTGAATCTTCCTGTCAGCAAATTCGTTGAACATGTCATGTTTCCAAGTGCTGTTAACATCACCCTGAAATAGGTCGTTCTTGATAGAGCTTACCGGCAGGCCACTACCAGCCTGTTTTGAGTGTAAAACTCAAAATGCTTGGCAAATACTGGTCGTATGTCACATTACAAACAAAGAAATTATAACAAATCAAAGAATAAATTTATAACATAAAATTTCAATAACATTGTTCATAACATTTTTTAATAAGTCCATGGTTCATTTGCACTTTGCACAGCACTGTTATTACATTTTAAACACAATGCTTGGGTCTTTGATCACTTTCACGAAAACGAAAACGATGGCCATGTATAGTCATGGTCTTTCTGCTTGTTGTTCTGAAGTAAGCACCTCCAACTAAACTCTGCTATATCACATTTCTTTCTTCATTATCAGCAATCTCCACGAAACAAAATGTGTTAAGTTTTACTGCTTACTGCTCAAGTCCCAATAAATTGCTAAAGTGCGGCAGTTGCTCCATAGACTTGTACCCAACGAACCAGATGTTTACCAAGACGAACAATGGGAAGGCAATTCACCATTTTCATTTATTTACTGAATTATGTACACAAAGTGCGGACCAGCGATAATGATACGGTCAAAATGAGTTTGGGCCAGAACAAGCTGCCGCTCAAAAGCAGCAACATCTGCTAGAGCAGAAAAATCCCATGTGCATTTAAGTTGGTCGAGTTTGGCACTTGCAACAGTGTAATGCGTCATTCACCACGTTTGTCCGCCATTTGCAATCGTATTATCAATCATTTTATTATTAGATTTACCCTTGTGTAATTAGTAGGCTTGGTAATACCGCCGCGATTCCTTCCTCGCAAGACGCCGCCTGTACGGCCATTGCGAAAACCTCCTGCTCCTCGGCCAGGTCTTCGATTATTATCGAACTTGCGTCCAGCTCCACCACCACCACCACCTCGGCCTTTTTTACTGGCTTTTATGATGTCGTCCAGAGCCATATCAATTCTATCAACCATGTTGGAAACTTAATAGGTTTTTCTTCTTTGTAATGATCACCGAGGTATACTGGTTACAAATTTCCTTCTGGTATTTTTTTCAACCAAAATTTAGGTACGCTACCACAGCACGCAAGCAAAGAAAGAATGAGATTGAAAATGAATGAGAGAGCGAAAGCGAATGACAATGAACGAATAACCATAGACTCAAGCATAATCACAAACTTCATTCGTTCAACTATGCTCGTCTGGTTCTCTATGGTCTAGTTCGTTCAATGTTTTTTTTAAATTTGTATGTCGATTTCGATACGATTTAAATCGATTCTCTTACGAGTATCAAGAGCTATGATCAAGAGTGACAAGATATAGAATTAAAAAAAAAGATGTCAATGTCAGTCTGTCAGTCTTGCTTGTGGTCTTGCTCTTCACCACACCATCACAGTGCTTTTCTTTTCGGTTTCGGAAAATCGAGGAAAATACACAAATATTGCTAAAAATAAAAGGAAGGGTATTTCGAGATCTACAGATAGAATTTGCGATGGCACTAAACAATTACATGCACCCGCGTAATATTTATAAAACTCCTCCTGATTTCGCTGACCTAGCAAAAAGGTTTCCTGCATTTTCAAGTATTTCTAAAATGGTAAGTAACTTAATTTTTTACTATGCGCTAATATAATTATACATAATACTTTTGGTACAATCATTGGGATATACAATTAACATCTAGGATATGAAGCAAACACATAAAATATGATTGATCACCATGTAGATCTCCCACATCTCCCATAATTGCTGCAGGCAAGCAGACTTCTTTATCTATTGAAATGAACAATTTTTATTGTTTTCACTGAATTTAAGACCTATTATTATGGCCTTTATCCAGCAGTGGAAGTCCTTTGGCCAAAATTATGATTATAGGATGACTATAACCTGTTAATTTATTTAACTGTAGCATCTCAAGAGTATAGTAGTAATTATAATAAATGCCCATTTCAGGATATTACAGGGAAAGTAACCATAGACTTTAAAGATCCACACAGTTTAAGAATCTTAACAAAATGTTTGTTAAAAAGTGACTTTGGTCTTGATATAGAAATACCTGAAGATAGGTTAGTACCCACACTTCCTTTGAGACTTAATTATATCCTTTGGATTGAAGACTTACTACTTGCTATTGGAAAAAAAGAAAATGTGTGGGGTATTGATATAGGTATGTATTTCTACATATAGTAACTTTTATTAAACTTGCACCAAAACAATTTTGGTATATCTTAAAGTAAGTATATCAAATTATGCTGTCGCCAAATTAAAAAAAAATATAACATTAACATTGTAAAACTTTTTAAATTGTAAATTAAAGTTAATTCAAACATTGTGATGAGCATTCATGAACATCTTTCTTTCTGTGATTTGTCAAGTTCTTATGTAAGTATTCCTAATACTTTATTAATTTACAACTATTGTGCATTGCAGGTACTGGGGCTTGTGCCATTTATCCCGTGTTGGCAGCTACTAAGAACAAATGGAATATGATTGGTACAGAAACAGATGCAGAGAGTTTTAAAAAAGCACAAGAGAACATTGACAAAAATAACCTCTCCAATTTCATAAAATGTATGATAATATGAATATATTCTTCTTTTACTTATTCAATAAGAAACATAATGCTAAACAATTGAATATAATATGGCTAATATAATTTTTTTTATGCTTAGATATTAATCCAAAGCTCAAAAATTACAATACACAATAATCACAATTTAATTGTATAATTAATTTATGTTTCATCTTTTTTACATGGTTCCAGTGAGCAAGAACACTACATCTAGTGTGGTTCAGTATTTATTAGACATTGAAACGGACCAAAGATTCGACTTCTGCATGTGTAACCCACCATTTTATAGTAGTATCCAAGAATTGTGTGAATCACGTAACCCAAGCAGGTATTAAAGAGTTACTTTTTTATGGCTATTAGTAAAACTAGTTACTACTAATAAACAAATGTTTAATTACATTGATATAATTAACCATGTCCTTTTGTTTATAAAACTTTCAGACAACCACCAAAGAATGGTTTCACAGGATCTCCTCAAGAACTAGTCACAGAAGGTGGAGAGCTCGAATTTTGCAGAAAATTAATTGAAGAGAGTAAAATCTATAAGGACAGAATATTGTAAGTCTAAAGCCTTTGTCACACTTGACGGAAATGCCGTCGCGGATTTCCGCTAAAAACAAGATGATTTGTCACTTATATCAACATTATTAACTTGCTTTGCTAAAAATATAATAACTTGTTTTGCGGTAGATCCGCGTGATCCGCGAAGTATGGCAAAGTTGTCCTTACAGTTGTTATTTAACCAGTAAAAATATGTGTCATTTTTGAAATAATGTGTTTTTTATTCCAGGTTTTTTACAACTATGATTGGCCACAAATATAATTTAAAAGAGCTATTACATGATCTTACAAGTGAAGGTATCAAGTACACACATACAGAGTTTTGCCAAGGACGTGTCACCCGTTGGGGCTTGGCTTGGACTTACCAGGAATATGATATTGAGAAATTGGGTATGTCTTTTTGTCACAACATTTTATGAAACTCAAAGTAGCATTTGTTTATGCCTTTTAATTTTGATAACCGATTTCTATTAATTAATATCCTTGGACAGCAGCTTTGTCCTTTTGAAAAATATGTCTCCAACTTTGAAATTTTGCACAGTGGGTTACATAATTATACAAAAATAGCTTTCCGCCCGCGGCATCGCCCGCGTGGAATTTTTCGATTTTTTATTAACCTATGACACTCAGCAATAATGTGGCTTTCTATTGGTGAAAGAATTTTGAAAGTCGGTTCAGTAGATTACCCCTTACAATTTAACAAATATACAAACACACAAACTTTACCTCTTTATAATCTTATTAGTATAGATTAGTAAAACTGTGAATTTATGGCTATTTATGGTCTATTTTCTCTTTTAGTTCCATCCAAAGATAAAATCAGGAAAAAAAGTAAACCAATAGCCTATCAACTAACGGAACTGCCAAGCAGACCTTACGATGTAGACACATGCACAGAAAAAATTAAGGAAATTTTAACAGGACTCCAGATAAAACACAAATTACTTAGCAAGAGAGGTAAAAGTGTGTGCATGCAAATGACAGCTTTCAATAACACGTGGTCTCATCAAAGGCGTAAAAGAAGACTTCAAAAACAACAAGAACAAGAATCCAAAAAGATGAGATTAAGTAGCTCAAATGAAGCATCACACAGTGAACCAAGTAGCTCAAATGAAGCATCACACAGTGAACCAACTGAAACACAAAAGGAAAATGCAAATAGTGATGATAAAGTTAATGAAAATAACAATAAACAAAGTAAATCACTATTGCTGTTATGTGAAAACGGGAAAGACACTTCAATTCAAGAACCAATTTTGCAAGCATTTTTGAAAATCTTTAAAAAGGAGAATGCTGTTCTATTTGAAATGGAGTACATAAGTGGCAACGCCGGCAAAGAAGGAATCCATCAAATAGTTCAATATATAAAGAATAATTGGAAATAATTAATCATATTTTATTTATATTCATACATGTACGGTTTNGTTTGTGAACACTAAAGATGCAGAATAAATGTCGAAATTAAGAAAATTCGAAATTAAAAAAAAACGTCATCGGCATCGCTATTGCGTAAAAAATTAAGTGCGTGTCGTGCCACGCGCAGTGTAGGTGTACGGTTTGTACGCTCTTGAGTGATATGTTGCTGATAGAAGAGAGGAATGAAAGTCTGATATAAACTGATATAACTGTATTGATAGACTGATACTTATGCTAATGATAGAATGATAGTGAGAACGCGCACGGTATGAACGATGACCGAACATGAACTGATGAAATTATAAATGTGGAGTAAAAATGCTGATGTGGCGCGAACTTACGAAACAATGTAAAATGCTGACGCGCAATTTGGTACGTGCTACTAGCTCGTACATCTTCCCGGGCCGGAAAGATGCGAGATGAGGGATGATAACGATGATAGGTATGATAGGTGAGTGACGTGAGTTACAAGGTGATAGAACAATTTTTACTTAAAATTATTACAAGGTGATAAACAATTGTTTACTTAATAATAATTACAAAGTGCTAAACTCTATGTTACGTATAGGCGACGTGGCCTTATCGTTAAATCGCGCACTTGATACTTTAGCTTTTGCACTTTTAATTTCACTTAACAACTCTACATCGCACTGATTGACATTGCTACCACTACACTCACTCACTACACTTTCACTGATAAACTTCGCTGTAGGACGTGGGGCGCGGGCGCGGGCGGGCGCCGCTGGCCGAGGGCCCCGCCGCGCTCGCTCCCGCAGGCGCCGCCGCGCGACCACGACGGCGAACACGAGGACTCCGCAGCCCACCACTACGTAGATGGCAACGTAGTGGTGTACGTCGTGATATGATACTCGATCCGTTAGGACACCTTCAGATGCCCTGATTTTCATTTCTTGTATTTTCTGATTGATCACCTCTAGTTCCTTCTGATGGCCGCTAGTATCTGATTGTGTTTCAATAGCGGAAATAGGTATCGTAAGATTTATTACGTTGTTGATAGGTGGGATTTCGATTTTAATAATATCGGCCTTTTTGTTCAAAGTATTTGATAGAGATCGGTGCGGATAAATTGTAAACGTAGTTCCTTTGATAATGCAATTGTGACTTAAAGTTATAATTCCAGCCATATTCAATTGCTCAGCTGTAACATGATCGTCACATATGACTCGTAAAGAGCATTGCCCGCAGCAGAAAAATAGGTATGTATTCATGTTATGTAATTCCGACCATGTATTTTTACATTTTGTAGTTGTAGTTTCACATTGCCCAGATTCGTAGTTTTTGATACAAAGATTCTCGTCAGATCTCATATGATATACAGGCTGTTTCAGAGGACATATAAGGGTTTCGATGTCATATTTTACACATTCCTGAATATGTTTATCTTACCTACTTGTATTGTATTTTATGTCCAAAATCCAAAGTATGTTGTTACTCCATGAAACTATCCATATTTGGTTTCCATTGATTTAAATGGAGTTATGAATGATTTTGTAATGAAGATTTAATCCTTTGTGTGGTTCAATACTTAAAACATGATGTTGCTGCAAGTAATAACCTATCTCGAGTGAAATAACTTACTTATTAACTTACTTGAGAGAATTTTTTTCGTAAACAAACATCAATCCAACAGGCAATCCATGCACAAGTAGTTCTTATTAATAATGACTGAGAAATTATTGATTTCAATTAGAAACAATTAAAAATCGTAGATAAACACGTTTTTTCGATGAAAAATTTTTGACGTTTATTTTTTTTAATAATGTCACAGTTGTAGACTCGAGACGGAACTAAAGTGATTAAAGTGAAAATTACGACTTTGAATTATTATACTTTTAAATAACCATTTAATTTATAGAAATCACATAGATTCAATAAAATAATTTATGAATAAAAGCTGAAGTTGTAATTCGAAAAGGTTTCTAAGGTTTCTAACATGCAAAAGACCACTGTCGCATACAGAAGACAACTATAAAAAAAGTCACTTCCTCTCGGAACTGTCAAAAAAATTCACTCTCTATGGAGCTGTCAAACTCTATGGCGTTTCCACCCCGTGCGTATGAGTCCTTTTGTATATTCACAGCTACGTAATCGGACACGGGTATGATATTGATCATATTGTTGTTTACTTTCTGTGGGACCGGTAATAATTTGTAAATATCGAAGTTATCTCGGCTCACCAATGGAATGTTTACCTCGAAGATGATAAAGTTTTTCATTGCTCTCGCTTTAACAGTAAGTAAATTGTTGTTACAGTATAATTAAATTTTTACATAGCACCTTTATTAACTGAGTCGCTCGCACTGGGCCAAGAAGGGCTATCGATATAAGTTATAGTTGGCACTACAAGTGATTGACATGAGTGTGGCGCTATCCTGTGAGCTGTGGGTTTCTCTAGACATGTGGCACCTCAGACCGAGAATAAAATAGACTTGTTACCGGTCTACGGTTTGTCGCTTTTATGATTGGTCTAGTGGGTCTAGACAATGTGCAAATTATAATCGCAAACCAGTCGAAAAGTGGTCGAAAAGCCCCTTTTTTGTATGGAGTTTTGACGGATTCTATTTTCGATTCGATCAAAAAGTGCGTTTTGTCTAGGGGGGCTAGACCCACAGGGGGTAGGTGTCGTTAGTCGCTACTTACCACTTCAGCGCTCACCAGGTAGCGCTTCTGTCGAAACTGCTAGCTATAGTGGCGCCAACTGGTGAGCGCTAAACGACAGACAGAACGAGATTTTTAAATATAATCGTATCTTAATCGTACCAAACAATAAGATACTCCGCACGTCGTTGATGGTATGGTATTGCCAGAAGTAAATATACCCTTTGACACTTGACGTTTCTTTGTTGATGGATCCTTGTGACATTGACAGATCAAAATATCGATCTTCGTGTTTGGTGTTTGAGGTTCCTCCTCGGTGTTTTTATATTATATGTGTAAACTATTGTTTTGATCATGGAATCTGAATCTCAGCCTGAACCTATTATGCAGATTGAACAACCCTCTAATAGCGAAGAACCTATTAAAATTGTTATCTTAGATCCTTCCACCTTAATACCAGCATCCACAGCAAATGGTAGCGATACAGTTGCTCCGGCAACAGGCGCTGGCGTTAAAGATAATGCAAAACCATCTCCGAAGAAACCTAAGAAACGAAAGCCTAAAATTCCGCGTGATGTAAATGGACCAAGACAGCCACTTACAGGTGTGTAGTTAACTATTATTCTCCTAGTGTTGTTTTGATTTGTCTGATACTATAATGATAGTTGTGATCGTATTCAAGGTTACGTGAGATTCCTCAATGAGCGTCGCGATCAACTCCGTGCTGAGCAACCAGACTTAGGTTTTGCCGAGCTGACCAGACAGCTAGCCAGCGAGTGGAGTAAACTTGCTGCAGAAGAAAAAAAGCAATACTTAGATGCAGCTGATCAGGACAAGGAAAGGTTATTATTAGAGATGAAACGGATATCCGGCAACTATCCGGTAGGCCGGATATCCGGCCTAAATTTAGTATCCGGCCGGATACCGGATAGTAGCTCACTATCCGGCCGGATACCGGATATTAAAAAAACTACGAAAATTTCCTATAATAAAATGAAACGCATTAATCTTTGAGTCAAATATCAATAAAATGGCTTATTATAATGACGGTTTTTATCTAAAGTCCAAAAAGTTACAAAAAAGCCATATTAAGGCCTTTCAAAAAACCAATTTCTTTTCTGGGCTATTCACTCTAATGACGAATGCATAAATAGTAAATACAGGGTGACTGGAACTGAACCCGCCATAGCTAATACGCGTATAGAGGAGGTCATTTGTAAATTATTGAACCTTACTTTCTACAACAAGGATAATTTTTGTATTATTACTCCTTTTTCTTACATAAACTTTGAATTTTTGACAAATTTCAATATCTAATTACAACGTGTGATATATCATTGGAAAGAAGAGAAGCTAGAGATATTTTTAAGATCATTGGAAATCCATTATCACCATAAATTTTTGTTTCAATCGAATTCGAAGTAGAATTTTTTATCGTGGTTTGTACTTTTGTTAGACTTTGGCGGCTCGTAACTAGCTATCCAATCATTGTCTGGATCAGAAATTTATTTTATTTTAATAAAGACATATTCGATATTAATCTACACTAATATTANTTTGCTATAGAGCCGACACCGTTGATAAGGCCGCGGCGCGAGCGCGCGGGCCGTGTGAGCTGCTGACCGAGCAGAATGCCATTGTAATGTTGGAGCTCGGTGAATCCATGATGTAATTGAAGAAGGACGACGTCACATTGAGGTATCTTTTTACTGTTTTGATAAAAACATGACTCATCAAGGTGTGTAATGTATTTACCGAGTAATTCAGTGCCTTGCCAATATGGAGTCATGTCGTAATAAATAACTAATTTCCATTGATCTTGCTCTAGACGCATGTTAGCGAATTTGTCGAAGTATAAACCGTGATTGTTGTTCAGACTTGATATTTGATATGAGCAATGTGCGGGTGATATAATCATAATCAACCACAAGCACATTAAATAAATGAAATTTCTTGATTTTGATTGTTGTAACGATCTTGAACGTTCGTTATCACTTGTGATAGTTGCTGCTACAGTTTTTTGCTGATTTGTTGGTTTCTGTTGATCTTGATAGATAGGTAAAAGTGATATTTTAGAGATAGGTCGCTTCATAAGACCGTTTTTCGTTTTAAGTGTGACTACACGCACGTGCCCGTCTTTTCCGGGGTGTAGCGACATTATTCTCCCTAGCGCCCATTTTCCTGATGGTAGATTAGCATCATTGATTGTTACAATATCGTTGATCTGAAGGTTTTCCTTTGATTGGCGCCACTTGCTTCGGGATGATAATTGATATAAATACTCGTTACGCCACCTTTGCCATACGTCGTCGAATATTTTTTGTGTTAATTGCCATCTTGTTCTGTGATCATTTTCAGTTTCTATTATTGTTAATGTAGGTCCGCTAGCGAGAAAATGTGAAGGTGTCAAAAAATCTAAGTCTTCACTATCCTCTGTCAATGCGCATAGTGGCCTAGAATTGAGGCAAGCTTCTAATTGAGCTAGGAGGGTGGAGTATTCCTCATAGGTCAGTTTCTGTTCCCCAATAACTCTTTTTAGATGATACTTGAGACTTTTTACGGCAGCCTCCCAAAGACCCCCGGCGCTGGGCCATGATGGAGCATTGAAGTGCCATTGGATTTCCATATCTGTGATAGCTGAGAAAAACTTGTCGTCTAAAGTAGTCTGCAAATCTATAAATTCTTGATTGAGCGTTCTGCTGGCACCTACGAAGTTTGTGCCGTTGTCGCTATAGATATGTTGGGGAGCTCCGCGTCTTGCCGCAAACCTACGTAAAGCAGCTAAGAACGTTGATGACGTCAGGTCTGATACTAATTCTAAGTGCACGGCTTTTGTAACCATGCACACAAATACGGCTATATAGCCTTTTGTCGTCTTGATGCCGCGTCCCTTGCTGGATTTCACGTCTACGAACCCAGTCAAGTCGACGCCGGTATGATGGAAGGGCCTGGATGGCGTTATGCGGGCGGCAGGTAAGTCACCCATGATTTGTTCGTGCTTTACAGGATCATGACGTCGGCACTTGACGCACTGACGCAGTTGTTTTTTGACTGCTCTGATTCCTCCAATGATCCAGTATTTTTGTCTGATTAAAGCTGACGTCAGACGGGTTCCACCGTGAAAAACTAATCTGTGTGATTCATCAATGATGAGTTCAGCTAGGCGGCTGTTTTTGGGAATGATTACAGGATGTTTCATCTCATGATTGATTTGAGCGTTCCTTAGTCGACCTCCGACTCTAAGGATGCCGTCCTTGTCCAAGAACGGGTTCAATTCGCATAATTTGCTTTTTGTTGATACTTTGTTGTTTAGTTCTAAGTTGTTAATTTCGTTTGTAAATTCTTGTTTTTGTATATATTTGATAATGATAGATTTTGATAGATTTAATTCTGATATTGATAGGTAATTTTGTTTGTCTTGTTTATTTTTTGATTTAAGTCTTAAAATCCATGCTAATATTCTCACAATTTTTGTAAATGAATTGTGTTTAGTTAGTAATTGATATATTATAACGTCGTCATTTATATCTTTTTCAGTGACAACGTTCACCTGTTTTGATTTTTTGAATTCCAGGTCGGTTGTGAATGTGGGGCGGTCCTCTTCCTCTTGGTAGCTTGGCAGCCAAGAAGGTCCCTCCCACCACAAAGGATGATCTAATAACTGAGTAGCGGTTAAACCTCGACTTGCACAGTCCGCAGGGTTTTCATCCGACTTTACGTAACGCCAGCATTCTGGAGGCATGACGTCATTTATTTGTGTTACTCTGTTGCTAACAAAGGTTTTCCACCTTGCTGGGTCTCCATTCAGCCAACCCAGGCATATCATGGAATCACACCAGCCGTAAATTTTGATATTATATTCGCTAAGGCATTGTTTGACCTTTAGCATTAATTTTGATAGTAAAAGTGCTCCGCTCAGTTCCAACTTTGGTAATGATATTGTAGATTTGGCGGGGACTAATCTTGCTTTTCCCGCAAACAGTGTTACTTCCGTTTTGTCCTCTCTCTTGACTTTACAATATATGACGCACGCGTAAGCTTTTGTGGACGCGTCACAAAAGCCGTGCAATTCGATAGTATCACATTCCGTTGTTTGTAACCACCTGTTAATTGTTATTTTGTTTATGTTGGTAATAATATCGTCTTTTAATGATATCCATTCTGTTTGTATCTCTTTTGGCAAAGAGTCATCCCATTTGATATCTGATAACCACACATTTTGAAAGAGTAGTTTTAGTTTGGTTGATAAAGGTGCTAATAAGCCGAGAGGATCAAATAATTTAGAGATGTGTGATAATAAAGACCGTTTGGTGTCTTCATTTGATGATTGATCAATTTTCATGTCGAATGATAATTTATCTTGTTGTGGGTCCCAACTGAGGCCAAGTGTTTTAGCCCGCTCTGCTTGCTTGAAATTGAAATTATTAGAGTTTTTTGGGTTTCCCTCGTTTAGCTCCGGGATGTTTGATCTCCACTTCCGAAGATTAAAGCCACCGGCTTTCAATAAATTGATAAGGTCGTTGCATAACTGTAGAGATGATTTGATATTGTGTTGCCCGTATACAAGGTCGTCCATATAAAATGATTGTTCAAGGACGTCCGGTGCTGAGCTATTGGGGTAATTTGACCTCTCGTCTGAAGCCAACTGCTTGAGGGTCATCATCGCTAAGAACGGGGCAGCTTTTGTGCCATACGTTACTGTAGCCAGCTGATACTCTTTGATTTGTTCTTCCATCGAGTTACGCCAAATTATCTTTTGATATGCTTGATCGTTTATGTTCATCCAAATCTGGCGAAACATCTTCTCGATGTCCGCAGTGAATGCAAATTGATACACTCTCCATTTGATAATCAATGACTGTAAGTCCTGCTGTAAATTTGGGCCACTTGCCATAAGATCATTTAAACTGTTTCCAGATGATGTCTTGCTAGATGCATTGAAGACCACTCTGAACTTGGTACTCGTTGATTCTTCGCGTTCCACGCCGTGATGAATGAGAAAACAATCTGATGTAGTATTATTGATAGTGGCAGGTGTCATGTGACCAAGGGATTGATACTCATCCATGAATGATACATAGTCCTTTTGCATGTTTTCGTTTTTGCAGAATTTTCGTTCTAAAGATCGAAAACAGGCAATGGCTTTGTTTTTGGAATTTCCTAAATTGTCTTCGAAGTTTTGCTTTAAGGGCAGACGGACCTCGTATCTTCCGTCTTCCCGTCGAATGGTTGTTTGATTGTAATATTGTATGCATTGCTGATCTTCTGTTGATAAATTTGATTCCTCTATGATGTCTTCTATTTCCCAAAATTTGTGTATTTCCTCCATGTTTGATAGTACAACATTGCAATGTAGTGTTTTGACAGTTCCGCTGAGGATCCAACCCAGGCGTGTATTTTGTGCAATAGGTGAATTTTGGTCTGATCTACAAATTCCTTCTAATAAAATTAAGGAATAAATGTCGGCGCCTAGCAACAGGTCGACCGGGCTGCTAAGGTTGAATTCAGGGTCTGCTAAAGTAATGTTGTCTAAGTATGACCAATTCGGTTTGATAAACGAATAACTAGGTAAATTCTTGATTAGATTTTTCATTATGAGTGCCTCTGTTTCAAATTCAAAATTGCTGTTGTTTGATAAACATTTTATGTGAACGGTCCCCTTACAGTTGCTTTCTTTTATACCTACTCCGGATATAATACCATGACATTGTTTCCGAGGTAGTTTTAGCAACTGGGCAGCATTTTCTGTAATTAGTGACGTTTGAGAACCCTGATCTAACAAAGCTCTCAATTTGATATAGGTTCCATCTGTCTTTTGGACCTTGATCAATGCTGTTGTTAAAAGTATTTCGGGCAAATCGCGTTGCAATGATACATGCGAGTTGCGCGTGGTGTGAGCAGGTTCGGATTTCGCAGCGTGGTGGCGGGCGCCGTATGAGGTCGCCGCGCCGGCAGCCTGCTCAGGTTTCTCAAAAGCGCCGTGTAATAATGTGTTATGTGCCTGATTGCATTCGCGGCACCTTTTGTCTGAAATACATGCTTTTCCATGATGGCAATAAAGGCAGTTTTGGCACAACTTATATTTTGTAACAGTTGCGCGCTTTGATGATGGCGACATTTCGACGAACTGATGACAATGGAAAACACCGTGATCGTCGGTTTGGCAAATGGGGCACTTGAAGAATTTGGTGACATATACATTTCGGTTAATTGGTTGCGACATTGGTCGTCCGATTGTGTGGAATGGTTGTTTCGTAATGATTTTGTTGGAATTTTGATATTTAGGTCCCGAGTATGATTGATAATTTTGACTGTTTCTAATGATTGGCTTGTTAAAATTATGTTCTTGTTTACGACGAGAGGATTCAATGGTCGTAAATTTACTTTCCAAAAATGATAGAAATTCATTTAGATTAGGTACTTCTCTCGGGTTTTTAACAGATGCGATATATTCCTTGTGCGTATCGACATCTAGTTTTTGACACATTAGATAAATGAGTAGTAGATCCCACGAATCGACATCGATGCCTAGATTTTTGATAGCGTTTAGGCTCTCGAGGATGGCGTCGTGAATCCTTTTGATATGGCCGTATGATGGCTGTTGAGAAACAGGAATGTTGAGCATTATCTCAATAAGAGAATTCAAAATGAGTTTTTTGTTATCAAATCTGTGGGTAAGTATGTCCCAGCAGATTGAATAGTTGTCTGATGCGATGGGCAGATGCTGTATGAGTCTCTCTGCTTCACCCTTGACTTTTGATTTCAGGAATTGCATCTTTTGAGCGCTAGAGAGTGATGGGTTGTTATGAATGGTTTCTGTAAATAGGTCTTTGAACGAAGTCCACTGATGATAACTACCGTGAAAGGTAGGAATTTCGATTTGAGGAATTGATTTGTCTCGATGAGAGACTGAACTCATTTTTTGATTGATAGATTTGATAGCATTGTTATATGATCGCTCGTATTTGTAGAACGCAGCATCGTATCCTGGGTCCCTGCCTCCCAGGACGCTGTCTAGTTCCCAATGAAGAGAGTCGATTGCTGACCAACGAGTATTTATTACACGAAGTAAGTGATCAAACTCCCATTTTTCTGATATATTGTCTAACACTATATTGGTAATTGTATGTTCAAAGGCCTTGAAATTGCTATTTTGTTTTCGTAACATTTCGTCTGTTTTGCTAGGCGAAGCTTGATGAGACTGATTGAGAGAGAATGTTGGTTCAAATTGTTGACCTGATGGTACACTTAGAGGTGTCGCAGGCCTGATAATAGGTGTTTGAGTCATTTTTGGTGGCTCATAATTTTGTATAGCAGTTCTGATATTTGAAAATCTCTCCTTTACGATCTCGTATTGATTTGATGTAAAATATGCATTCGATTTATCACCGAATCCACACAGTTGAATATGATTTGATTGGTATTCGTTCCAGTAGCCGTCTAACGTAGCTAAACGACGTTTGATATAATCAACAGTTTTCCTATCCGCACCGTCTTTTTTGAAATTGCTGTATACTTGTTCTATAGCCATAGAGGTTTGTTCTTGATTTTGCAGAAGATCCTCCATGGTTGCCATATTGATATAGATGATGATATAAGAGTAAAGTAAATCGGAATGATCTTACTTGAACTTGATAGATGAAGAATCGCAAACGCAGGCGCTTACGACTTTCCTGATGATCTTGATAATTGATGTTGATACACTGCAATCCGTTAGTCCATTGATAGTTCACCTCACTTGATACACAGAGTCACGTTTTTATGTAGGTAGTTATAGTTCACGTAATCACTGAATACCACGCGAGGATCCGGCTCGAATAAAGAGATGTACGGTTTGTACGCTCTTGAGTGATATGTTGCTGATAGAAGAGAGGAATGAAAGTCTGATATAAACTGATATAACTGTATTGATAGACTGATACTTATGCTAANTCTTTTAATGATATCCATTCTGTTTGTATCTCTTTTGGCAAAGAGTCATCCCATTTGATATCTGATAACCACACATTTTGAAAGAGTAGTTTTAGTTTGGTTGATAAAGGTGCTAATAAGCCGAGAGGATCAAATAATTTAGAGATGTGTGATAATAAAGACCGTTTGGTGTCTTCATTTGATGATTGATCAATTTTCATGTCGAATGATAATTTATCTTGTTGTGGGTCCCAACTGAGGCCAAGTGTTTTAGCCCGCTCTGCTTGCTTGAAATTGAAATTATTAGAGTTTTTTGGGTTTCCCTCGTTTAGCTCCGGGATGTTTGATCTCCACTTCCGAAGATTAAAGCCACCGGCTTTCAATAAATTGATAAGGTCGTTGCATAACTGTAGAGATGATTTGATATTGTGTTGCCCGTATACAAGGTCGTCCATATAAAATGATTGTTCAAGGACGTCCGGTGCTGAGCTATTGGGGTAATTTGACCTCTCGTCTGAAGCCAACTGCTTGAGGGTCATCATCGCTAAGAACGGGGCAGCTTTTGTGCCATACGTTACTGTAGCCAGCTGATACTCTTTGATTTGTTCTTCCATCGAGTTACGCCAAATTATCTTTTGATATGCTTGATCGTTTATGTTCATCCAAATCTGGCGAAACATCTTCTCGATGTCCGCAGTGAATGCAAATTGATACACTCTCCATTTGATAATCAATGACTGTAAGTCCTGCTGTAAATTTGGGCCACTTGCCATAAGATCATTTAAACTGTTTCCAGATGATGTCTTGCTAGATGCATTGAAGACCACTCTGAACTTGGTACTCGTTGATTCTTCGCGTTCCACGCCGTGATGAATGAGAAAACAATCTGATGTAGTATTATTGATAGTGGCAGGTGTCATGTGACCAAGGGATTGATACTCATCCATGAATGATACATAGTCCTTTTGCATGTTTTCGTTTTTGCAGAATTTTCGTTCTAAAGAACGAAAACATGCAATGAAAAAATGCCATAGGTCGCTGGTTCATATCCGGCTCGAATAAAGAGATGTACGGTTTGTACGCTCTTGAGTGATATGTTGCTGATAGAAGAGAGGAATGAAAGTCTGATATAAACTGATATAACTGTATTGATAGACTGATACTTATGCTAATGATAGAATGATAGTGAGAACGCGCACGGTATGAACGATGACCGAACATGAACTCATTTTTTGATTGATAGATTTGATAGCATTGTTATATGATCGTTCGTATTTGTAGAACGCAGCATCGTATCCTGGGTCCCTGCCTCCCAGGACGCTGTCTAGTTCCCAATGAAGAGAGTCGATTGCTGACCAACGAGTATTTATTACACGAAGTAAGTGATCAAACTCCCATTTTTCTGATATATTGTCTAACACTATATTGGTAATTGTATGTTCAAAGGCCTTGAAATTGCTATTTTGTTTTCGTAACATTTCGTCCGTTTTGCTAGGCGAAGCTTGATGAGACTGATTGAGAGAGAATGTTGGTTCAAATTGTTGACCTGATGGTACACTTAGAGGTGTTGCAGGCCTGATAATAGGTGTTTGAGTCATTTTTGGTGGCTCATAATTTTGTATAGCAGTTCTGATATTTGAAAATCTCTCCTTAACGATCTCGTATTGATTTGATGTAAAATATGCATTCGATTTATCACCGAATCCACACAGTTGAATATGATTTGATTGATATTCGTTCCAGTAGCCGTCTAACGTAGCTAAACGACGTTTGATATAATCAACAGTTTTCCTATCCGCACCGTCTTTTTTGAAATTGCTGTATACTTGTTCGATAGCCATAGAGGTTTGTTCTTGATTTTGCAGAAGATCCTCCATGGTTGCCATATTGATATAGATGATGATATAAAGTAAATCGGAATGATCTTACTTGAACTTGATAGATGAAGAATCGCAAACGCAGGCGCTTACGACTTTCCTGATGATCTTGATAATTGATGTTGATACACTGCAATCCGTTAGTCCATTGATAGTTCACCTCACTTGATACACAGAGTCACGTTTTTATGTAGGTAGTTATAGTTCACGTAATCACTGAATACCACGCGAGGATCCGGCTCGAATAAAGAGATGTACGGTTTGTACGCTCTTGAGTGATATGTTGCTGATAGAAGAGAGGAATGAAAGTCTGATATAAACTGATATAACTGTATTGATAGACTGATACTTATGCTAATGATAGAATGATAGTGAGAACGCGCACGGTATGAACGATGACCGAACATGAACTGATGAAATTATAAATGTGGAGTAAAAATGCTGATGTGGCGCGAACTTACGAAACAATGTAAAATGCTGACGCGCAATTTGGTACGTGCTACTAGCTCGTACAGTAGGGTTCCGTAGTTGTCTGTCGTTACCACAATCTGGGGGCACGGCAGTGCCCCCACCAAGTCGAGCAAAAAAGCGGCACGGCCGTACCATCCTTTTCTCGAAGCAATTCAGGCCATTTTCGATATACCTATTTCAGAAGCAAGCAATTACTTCATCTAAAGTCACTTTTCATATTTTCTTCTAAGGAATTTTTACTGCTTAAGAAATTGTATAATACATGAGTCAAATGACTATTACTCTTAAACTAAGTAATGTATCTTAACCGTTATAGTTTTCCTTGAAAAAAATCATACCCACTTAACATGCAGGGGAGCTACCCTAGATTTTTTTTATGAACATTTTATTTTACCGTTTTGTCGGCGTGATTAATATACTTAAATACCTTCACAAAATTACAGCTCCCCAGTACCAATAGTTTCCAAGCGAAACCTCGGACAGACAGACAGACATGTCGAAACTATAAGGGTTCAGGACTACGGAACCCTAAAAAATGACATTACATACATATGAAAATATTATTTATTTGTAGTTAAAGTGACCAATAGTCAAATTTGACAGATGTCAAATGACAAGTGGTTAAATAACAGAATTTTTTTTTATAACAATGTTTAACTTGACTTTTAATACATTTTTCAACTATTAGTTTACATTTTATTTATATTTAACCATTAGTAGCAAAATTTAACAATTAGTTATTTTAACTATGAATCAAAAACTGGTCCTAGGTTGAAGCAATTGCTTGTCTTACTAAACGACGGGAAGCTACGGAACCCTGCACTGCGCGTGGCACGACATTGGGTTACTGATTTTTTCATATAAATCTAATAGACTCGAAGCATAGACATTGCAAAATAGGCATTTTATTAAATATCACGTGAGATTAGGGGGGTGGGGGAGGGGGTCAGGCAAAATCTCACCAAATCTCACCAAGGGGGGCGGGGGGGTTGAAAAATGGCCAAAATTGTCTCACGTAATTTATGGACGCCCCCTTTAATCGACCCGTTGACAGATGACTTTATGGTTACTGATCACGGTCGAGATCGGTATACTAAGAGAAAATCAACCTTGCGATTTGAAAAAAATAAAGAGTAAAAATTATGATGTCGGGTTCAGGGATGTCAGAAGTAAGAAATTATTTTACATAGCGCCTCTAGTCCCAAACTAAGCAAAGCTTGTAATTTAAACAAACATGGCAATGTACCATTCTGCGTGATTATTGGCCGCTAAGCCCTTGGCCAACTCAGTAACCAATGACGGACTATTGTCACTCAACCACAAAGTACCGCGTAAATTAAAAGATATTTTTTAATTAAAAATATTAACCAATAATATTTTTTGTTAGATCAAATATATTTTAAAGTTAAGTTATACATAGATCGAAATGTATTTATTAGGTGATCAATATTAAAAGGCAAACTTGATATAAAAATCATCAAATTAACAAAATTAAAGATCAATAACTAAAAAAGAGGATCAAATATTATTTTTGTTTACCAAATATTTAAAGAGTATGTTAAACATAAATATTATGTTACCTTTAATGAAGATCATTCATAATTTATCCGTAGATCAATTAATATAGACCCAATAATTAATATAAAGACAAAATATAATAAAAAACATCATTTATTTTTAAAAGTGCACATAGAAAAAAGATCAATTAGTTTTTAGAGGATCAAATAATATTGCCCCATTATAATCATACTACAACGCATGCCAGCGTCCTGACGAGCGCGCGCGTGACACTCGACTGATATAATACCCGCCGGCGGGGCGCTTCGCTGTAGGTAATTATCGGATGTACCGCGCGGAGTGAGCCAGGCCTGGTACTGGACTATTTATAAAGCAATAGGTGTAAAAGCACTTTATAAGGCCCACAGCAAACATGTTTCTTTTAGCATCGGCAATTTTGCGATTGTATTGATGCAACAATGCGACTTCGCGACTTCATGCGTTCGGAGGCGGTATCGGGATCGCGCATTTTAGCGACTGTTGTCGCTGCGTCGAACTTCAGAAACGACGTTTGGCGTTTTTAAGCGTGTGGTGTGGTTCTTCAGCTTCTAAAAAGCGGCAAATCGCTGATCACCGAAGCCATAAGTAACAATGTGCTGTGGTAAAGGCCTATTTGCAGAAAATAAACGACTGGAATGGAGGCCGCGTACCGGAACGCAGCGTGGGACGTCCACCCACAAGGTGGACCGACGACCTGATTAAGGTAACAGGAAGGCGCTCGATGCAGGCCGCTACCAATCGATCAACGTGGAAAGCATTAGGGGAGGCCTATGTTCAGCAGTGGACGTCCTATGGCTGACATGATGATGATGATGATGAAATGACTTACGGCGTATTTTCTCCAGGGCGTTACTGAGCGCGCTGGACGCGTGCCCGGCGGGCGCGGTGGTGCGGCTGGGCGTGGAGCGCGCGTACATGGCGCAGCTGCTGCGCGTGCAACGCGCGCGCGGGGCCCGCGGCGGCGCCGCCTTCGCCGCCGCGCTGCAGCTCGCGCCGCCGCAGCTGCCGCCCGGTCAGTGCAGCATCAATACTAAAGCCTGGTCCGTGAGCACGTAGAATTTTGTCCAATGACCCCAAGCTGGATGGGTCCTTATCGCTCGCGCGTAATTATATTGCTGTCGCGACTGTGCGACGGGCGCCCGCAGTGAGTGTGCGAGCGCGACAGCAACATAATTACGTGTGAGAGACAAGGATGGGCAGCTTGGGGTCATTGGACGGGATTCTACGTGCTCACGGACCAGGCTTTATACGATTATACGTCTGATTCTCTTCATAATTTGTTACGAAGAGAGCAAAAATAAAAAGCCGTACTGCGTTTGTTCGAAAGTCTGACATCTTTATTTTGTTTTTTAATTTCTTTTTAATTCCTGTCCTTGACAACGTCTTAGGGCATGAATCACTCAAAGTATGGGAGCGGCACGGGAGGGTATTATTGTTGACGTCAAACGTTAGCAAGACTTCAGATTTGTATGTTCTGTCACGTCACTTCAATGCCACCCCTCCCGTGCCGCTCCCATACCTCAGGCACTAACTGAATTAAGCGCTAGACCTATAATAAGAGCAGCGCTTAACTTGGTCGGTGCCTGAGGTATGGGAGCGGCACGGGGGGGTGTTCATGTTGACATCCCTCCCTCAATGACATCCCTCCCTCAATGACATTCCTCCCTCAATGACATCCCTCCCTCAATGACACCCCTCCCTCATAGACACCCCTCCCTCTATGACATCCCTCCCTCAATGACATCCCTCCCTCAATGACATCCCTCCCTCAATGAGATCCCTCCCTCAATGACATCCCTCCCTCAATTACATCCCTCCCTCAATGACATCCCTCCCTCAATGACATCCCTCCCTCAATGACATCCCTCCCTCAATGACACCCCTCCCTCAATGACACCCCTCCCTCAATGACATCCCTCCCTCAATCAAAATCAAAATCAAAATCAAAAAANTGGAAGTTGTAAGTTGCGTCAAATATTTAGGTTTATGGCTGGATAGCTCGCTTACGTGGTCTAAACATATAAATTAAATTAAAGAAAAGGCAGAAAAATTTCTAAACGCTTTTA